GGACGTCTGCCGTGCAATGATCGCGATGATGGACGTTGACCGGTCTGGCAAGCTCGGGTTGCACGAGTTCTTGCAACTGTGGACGGATATTCGCGTCTGGAAGGTAAGTTGGGGGGTGGGGGGGAGGGGGGAGAGGAGGAGGAGGAAGGGGGGGATCATTATCATTATTCTAGTATTATCATCATTATTATCATTGTCATCACCTTCATCATTATCATCATCATTATTATCATTATCATTATTATTATCGTCATCTTCATTATTAGCATAATCATTATTATTATCATTATCATCATCATCATTATCATTATCATCATTATCATCATTATTATTATCATTATCATGATCATTATTATCATCACCATCATTTTCACCATTACTATTGATTGATATCCCAGTCATCACCATCAACTCCATATCATTATTATCATTATTATTATCATCATCATAATTATTTCTAGCGTCACTGTCTTCATTATTACTATTATCACCATTATCGTCATCATCACCATCATTATCATTATCACTATCATCAACAGAACGTCTATCGCTCTCCAAATCACTATTATTAATATCCCAGTCAATACCATCACCACTAGTATCACTATCATTATCACTATCACTATCACTATCATCATTATAATCACCATCATTTCTCAACAGAACGTCTTCCGCCTCTACGACAAGGATAATACAATATAACACCATTATCATCATCAATATCATCATCATTATAATCACTATCACTATCATTATCACCATCACTCCTCAACCGAACGTGTTCCTCTTATACGACAAGGATAATACAATATAACACTATTATCATCATCAATATCACTATCATCATCATTATAATTATCACTATAATCACTATCATAATCACTATCACTCCTCAACAGAACGTGCTCTGCCTCTACGACAAGGACTCCACCGGGCAGCGTCAATTTTCATCATTATTATAATCACTCGTTATTATCATCACCATCATTATCATTATCACTATCATTTCTCAACAGAACGTCTTCCTTCCTATACGACAAGGACTCCTCTGGGCAGCGTCAAGTTTCATCATTATCATCATCATTGTCACTATCATCATTATAATTATCACTATCACTATCACTATCACCATCATTTCTCAACAGAACGTCTTCCGCCTGTACGACAAGGACTCCTCCGGCCACCTGTGTTCATTCGAGCTCCGCCAGGCGCTCAACTCTTGTCATTATTATCATTATTATTATCATCATCATTATTATTTCTAGCGTCACTGTCATCATCGTTATTATCCCCGTCATCTTCACTATCATTATTGATATCCCACTCATCACTATCACCACTAGTATTATTATCATCACTATTATCGTTATTATCATCATTATCATTATCACTATCATTTCTCAACAGAACGTCTTCCTTCCTATATGATAAGGACTCCTCTGGGCAGCGTCAAGTTTCATCATTATCATCATCATTGTCACTATCATCATTATAATTATCACTATCACTATCACTATCACTCCTCAACAGAACGTCTTCCGCCTCTACGACAAGGATAATACAATATAACACCATTATCATCATCAATATCACTATCACCATCATTATCATTATCACTATCACCATCATTATCACTATCACTCCTCAACAGAACGTCTTCCGCCTGTACGACAAGGACTCCTCCGGCCACCTGTGTTCATTCGAGCTCCGCCAGGCGCTCAACTCTGCAGGCTACAGGTTGAACAATCACGTGTGCAACGCCCTCATGTTGCGTTATGGGGACGACCAGGGACAGATTTCCTTCGACGATTTTATCATGTGCAGCGTCAAGTTGAAGACCATGATGGGTAGGTTGCAATGTTGGTTTTGTATGTTGCAAGGTTGATTTTTAGACAAAAAAGATTGCAGATTTATTTTTTATATATTTTTTTGTTTGTTTGTTGTTTTTTTCGTAGTTTCGTTTGATTTGCAGCATCAAGTTGAAGACCATGATGGGTAGGTTGCAAGGTTGATTTGTATGTTGTTTATGTTGATTTTATGTTGCAAGGTTGATTTAAGGGGAAAAAAAGATTGCAGATTGTTTTATTTTTGTTTGTTTGTTTGGTTGTTTTTTCTTGTAGTTTCATCATGTGCAACGTCAGGTTGAAGACCATGATGGGTGCGTTGCAGTGATTTTATGTTGCAAATGCAATTGTTGCAGGTTATTGATTACGTAATTTTCGCAGGTTATTGCAGATATTATCGTATTTTTTTGCACAAGGGAAGGTGTTTGATTTCCATTGATGCAATATTGCACACTCATTGCACAGATATATTTTGCAATATTACACAATTTTGATTTCTTTATTATAAAAAAATAGATCCACTTTTTTTTTTTTGTGGTTATTTGATGTTATTGCAGAAAACACATTATTGCACTGCTATTTTTTGCAATATTGCACAAATTTCCTCTCTTTAGTGTTTTAAAAAAATAGATCTACTGGTGATTTTTGTTTTTTGTTTTTTTGTTATTATGATGTTATTGCAGATAACACGTTATTGCACAGATATCTTTTGCCTTTTTAGAAGTTTTTGTCGTGTATTTTTGTTATTGTTATTGTTGCTTTATTGTATTATTGTTATTGTTGTTATTTTATTGTTATTGCTATTGCTGTTGTTATTTTATTGTGTTTTTGTTGCCGTGTGTGGTTTTTGCAAGTTATTGCACAGTAGTCTTTGATTGCATGGTTGGTGATTGCATGGATGGGATGTAGTCTTATCTTGTGGGTCGTTATTGCATCGTTTCTGTTATTCCAGGCAGTTATTGCATTATTTCCATTATTTTATGCGGTTATTGCATTATTCCTGTTATTCCAGGCGGTTATTGCATTATTTCCATTATTTTATGCGGTTATTGCATCGTTTCTGTTATTCCAGGCGGTTATTGCATCGTTTCTGTTATTCCATACGGGTTATTGCATTATTCCTGTTATTTCAGTTATTTTCTGTTATTTTCTGTTATTGCGGTTATTGCACTGTGTGATTGGGATGAATTTAAATTGGATTCGGGAATGGTTTTCAGAGAGTCTTTTGAGAGAGAGACTCGCTCAGCTGTGTGATTTACGATGTTATTGATGTTATTAGGGTTATTTATGATGTTATTAGTGTTATAGATGATGTTATTAGGGTTATTTACGATGTTATTAGTGTTATTAATGATGTTATTAGTGTTATTGATGTTATTAGTGTTATTGACGATGTTATTGGTGTTATTGATGTTATTAGTGTTATTGATGATGTTATTAGTGCCATTTACAATAGTATTAGTGTTATTGATGTTACTGACAATGTTATTAGTGTTACTGACGTTTAAAAAGAATTGTTTTTAAAGGAAAAAGATCAGCTGATTTGCTTATCGTTAAATTCCACTTTTAATTTTGTTTGATTTTATTTAATTTCATTTAATTTCATTTAATTTCACCCACTGACATTCCCTCCCTGTGATTTTTATATATATATAAATTTATATATATATTATATATATATATATAACATATGTATATATATATATATATTCTATATATATATTATTTTTCTTTTATTTTCTTACGTCCGTTGATTTATCGCTTATTTGCAGTTATTCTTAATCAATGATTATTTTGCAGAGTCCCATTTCCCATTTTTTGTCCATTTTTTCTATTTCTCATTTTCTATATATATAAAAAAATATTTTTTTTTATATATCATATTTAATGGCAATCAACGTATAGATTACGTGGTTTGGCATCAAATATAAGTGTATTAATGGATGGGTTGAGTTGCCATAATTCTGTTCATTAATCACATTCAGTTGCCACAATTCTGTTCATAAATCAAGTTCAGTTGCCATAATTTTGTTCATAAATAACATTCATTTGCCATAATTCTGTTCATTAATCACATTCAGTTGCCATAAGTATCATGATTCATGTTCCGTTGCCATAATTCTGTTCACGAATCACGTTCAGTTGCCATAATTCTCATAAATCATGTTCAGTTGCCTTAATTCTGTTCATTCGGTTGCCATAATTCTCATAGATTACACTCAGTTGCCATAATTCTGTTCATAAATCACATCTGGTTGCCACAATTCTCATTAATCACGTTCAGTTGCCATAATTCTCATAAACCACGTTCAGTTGCCATTATTCTGTTCATAAATAACATTCATTTGCCATAATTCTCAAATCACAGTCAGTTGCCATTTTTCTGTTCATAAATCACTCAGTCGCCATTATCAACCACAACCCCCAGCCAACATTCAACCACCATCAACCACATTTCCCCCATCAATCAACCGCAATCAGCCATCAATCAACCACAATCAAAAACCAGTCAATCAATCCCGTCAACTGCATCAATCAACCCCAATCCTCCTAGCTATCAATCAACCATGATCAGCCACCAGTCAATCAACCGCATTCAACCCCAACCCATCAACCTCTCATCCAATCAACCCCAACCCATTAACCACGTCCCCTTCAATCAACCACATTCCCCCCCATCAACTGTTTATGTGGTTGCAATTAACCACAATCCATCAATCAACCCCAACCCATCAACCACATTCCCCCCCATCAACCACGTCCCCATCAACCAACCCCAACCCATCAACCACGTCCCTATCAACCACGTCCCCATCAACCAACCCATCAACCACGTCCTCATCAACCCCAACCCATCAATCAACCCCATCAACCAACCAACCCCAACCCATCAACCACGTCCCCATCAACCAACCAACCCCAACCCATCAACCCCTCAACCCACCGCCTCCACAGGCATAGGCGACGACCCTGAGAAACTACAGGAATTTTACGATGAATTAATGAGCGAAAATGAGGCAAAACAACAACAACAGGAGGAGGAGGAGGAGGAGGAAGAAGAAGAAGAGTAGGAGAGAAACGGCAATGAAGATCCGATGTCATTGATGGCGTTGGTTGAAAGGATGGATGTGATTGACGGTGATTTAAATAATTTTTTTTTTTTTTTTCTCCCAGTGCATGTGGTTGCCGCGTGTGGTGGCCGGGGGGGGGCGGTTTGGGCGGTCTGAGGAATTTTTGGTTAAAAAGAAAAAAAAAAATTGAGTTTTGGTCCAAAAAATAAATGAAAAAAAAAGGATTTGAACAAAAACAGAAAGGAATATTTAGTCAAAAAAAGAAAAAAAAAGACTAAAAACAAAATGGAATTTTTTTGGAATATTCATGTTTTTATTTTCTTTTTTTGGTTTTCTATTGGTTTTTATATTCATTTATTTGTTGTTTTTCACGTATGAAAATATGTATTATATTCATTTAGGAAATTCTGTACGATTTTTTTGTGGTTTAAATTTCATAAAAATTCTTTCGAAAATCACACACACAAAAAAAATTACCTCTAGTGATTTGTATATAAAAGTTTCTGATTATAATATTCTCTTCAAATACCAATAATAAGAAAATCATTCATTCATTCAATCGATTACAAATTAAAAAAAGAAAGAAAAAAAAATCCTATGACCCCCAAACTAGCCATTTATTTTCTGGTGGCGGGAAATGGCTTCTTAATGCATATTCACAACTGAGAAAATATATATGTATTTGCATATATATTAACGATTAAATCACGCAATATATATATATATTCTCACCCCCTCCCCCCCCCCACAACAAGCCTACCAGATATTACTAATAAATGTATATATATTTTTTCTTGGCGCTTTCTTACAGGTGAAGTTGCTTTTATATATATATACAGTTATTTACAAGTATATATACACGTAATATTTTTTTTTTTTCCATAATGGCTGTTACGTTTCTATGCTTTTTAGAAAATGGCGGGAAATATTGGTTACGGTATTATCTATCTCTATCTATCTCTATTAATATTTATCTCTATCTATCTCTATTATTATCTCTCTCTATGTCTATTATTATCTCTATCTATTATTATCTCTCTGTCTATCTCTATTATCATCTCTCTATCTCTCTATCTATCTCTATCTATTATTATCTCTCTATCTATCTCTATTAATATCTCTCTATCTCTCTATTATTATCTCTCTATCTATTATTATCTCTATCTATTATTATCTCTCTATCTCTCTCTGGTTTCGTGATCTTTGTCTCTCTCTCTCTCCTCCCTCCCTCCCTTCCCCTTCCCTCTCCCTCCCCCTCTCCCTCTCCCTCTCCCTCTCCTTCCCTCTCCCTCTCCTTCCCTCTCCCTTACCCCTTCCCTCTCCCCCCCCCCCTCTCCCTCTTCCTCTCCCTCACTCCCCTTCCCTCTCCCTCTCTCTTCCCTTCCCTTTCCCTCTCCCCTCTCCCTCCCCCTCCCTATCCCTTTCCCCTTCCCTCTCCCTTCCCTCTCCCTCTTCCTCTTCCTCTCCCTCCTTCCTTCCCTCCTTCCATCACCATACACGGAAAAAAAATAAAAATGAAACCAAGAAACAGAAACTTGATTTAACACGACGCTTCCACGACACGAAAATCACACAAGACATTGAGTTGATTGCAACTAACATCATGATTGCAACGTTGTGATTGCATGTGCATGGTTATTGCACAAAACACACACGTATGTAGTTTTGAGGAGAGTAACTAGTTTGTTTTAAATTTTTATTTCATTTTATATATTTATTTGTTATTATTATTATTATTATTATTATTATTTTAGTTGGATTCAAAATCTGGAATAAAAAAAAAAAAAAGTATTTTTAGAGAAAAAAAAACACAAAGGCTGTTTTTTTTTTTTTTTTTTTTCTTATATTTTCCTTTTCTTCTTCTTTTTCTTTTTTTCTTTTATTTATCAATTTATCTCATTTCCCTTTTTTTTTTACTCATTTGCCTTATCTCTTTTATTCTTTTATTCTCCCTTTCCCTCCGTTTATTTAAACCTATTTACGTATATATTTATTTCCGTAAAAAAAAATTACAGATTTTTGACAATTAATTTGAATTCCTTAAAAATTGCTTTTATTAACTCACTATTAATTTTTTTTTATACTAATGGTTTTTGCAATGTGTTAATTGCATGAGGAAACTAATTAGTTGATTTTGTTGCTCTTATATTGCATGGTTGTTATAATTAGTTAATTATTTAGGTCTGTTATCCATTTAGGAATTATTATTATTAAGGTTATGTATATATATATAATTTTATTTGAAAATTTTCTGTTTGGTTTAAAGTAGATTTTTTTGTTTTTTTGTTTTTTGTTTTTTTTGTTTTTGTTCTTTTTTTAAGTTCGTAACATGTACACATATGTGCGCATTTAAGGGACTAAAATGTGCAGATACACATTCATGCGCACACACACGTACACACATGTACACACACATACACGTACACGCACTTATATATACATGCATACATACTCTTACATATGCATTTACATAGGCATACATTTACACACGCACACACATACATACATGCATACATACATACTCTAACAGATACATACATATACGTACATACACTTACATAAACACACACACACATACACATAAATACATACATAAATACATACATAAACACACACTCACATACACACACATAAATACATACATAAATACATACATATACACACACATAAATACATACATAAATACATACATATACACACACACTCACCTACACACACACACATACACATAAATACATACATAAATACATACATAAATACATACATATACTCACACACTCACCTACACACACATAAATACATACATAAATACATACATATACACACACACTCACATACACACACATAAATACATACATAAATACATACATATACACACACACTCACATACACACATAAATACATACATAAATACATACATATACACACACACTCACGTACACACACATAAATACATACATAAATACATACATATACACACACACTCACATACACACACATAAATACATACATAAATACATACATATACACACACACTCACGTACACACACATAAATACATACATAAATACATACATATACACACACACTCACATACACACACACACATACACATAAATACATACATAAATACATACATATACACACACACTCACATACACACAAAAGTTGATATTTAAAGAGAGAGAGAGAGAGAAAGAATAGAAAACATAGATAGAGAAATGAAAAAAAAATAATCATTAATATTAGAGATAAAATACCAATTGATTTTATTTACGACAACAGTAGAATAATTATCATTATCTCTTCTCTCGTTTATTTAAATTCTTTTTGTGCAAAATTTCTTGGCGTGAAATTTTGTTTCAAAAACGTTTGAAATAATTGACGTGAACTTTTATTTTTATTTCTTTTTTGCAATTTTTTTTTTTTCAGAAAATGTTTAAAAATCGTCGACGCTGAAAATTTATTTTCATTTGTTTTTTTAATATATTCAATTTTTTTTTTTTTTTTTTTTTTAATTCAGAAACGTTATTTCTTTTTTTATTTCTCTCCATTTCTCTTTATTCATTCCATTCTCTTTAAAACAGTTCCCGAAACGTTTTTGGAAAAGGAGAAGAAAAATTTTATTTTCATTAGTTTTTTAAATATTTTTTTCATTTTCTTAAATCCAGAAACATTATTTTTCTCCATTTCTCTCCATTTCTCTTTATTCATTTCTCTCCATTTCTCTTTATTCACTCCATTCTTTAATACATTCCCAGAAACGTTTTTGGAAAAGGACTTGGAGAAGACAAACTCGGCGACGTTTACGCTCGAAGAATGGATCGAGAACACCATGTATTCGTAGGAAAGGAAGGAGGAGAAAGAGGGAAGAAGAGGAGAGGAGAGAAGAGAAGGAGGAGGAGAAAAGTGGAAGAAGAGGAGAGGAGAGGAGAAAAGAAGAGGAGAGAAAAATGGAAGAAGAGGAAGAAGAGAGAATATCAAAAGGAGAGAAAGAAAGAGAAAGGATGAGAGAGAGAGAATGAAAGAGAGAGAGAGAAAGAGAGAATGAAAGAGAGAGAGAGAGAGAGAGAATGAAAGAGAGAATGAAAGAGAGAGTGAGAATGAGAGACAGAAAGAGAGAATGAAAGAGAGAGAGAGAGAGAAGAAATAGAAGAATCTCACTTAGTTCGCTTTAAGATAAAACTTAAGAAGGAAAATGGTTCTCATTAAATAGAAGAATAGAAATAATAAGAATAAGAATAATAGGAATAATAAGAATAAGAATAAGAATAATAGATATTGAAGGAAAAATCTCCTTACTGTCAGAAAAAAAAAAAAAAAATAGTTGGTGCTGATTAAAAAAAAAAAACGTTGCTTATTGCATATAGAATGGAGATTGCACTATGCAACATCATGATAGTATTAAAAATATATAATATGTAGTTAATAAAAATCTTAAGCTTTGCATAGAAGATAAAAATCACTAAAGACCAGATTATGTTTAAAAAAAAAGAATAGTCAAAATTTAGTATTATTTCTGCTTCAAAATCAAAGGAAATCTTTTTAAAATGTCGTTCAAATATTATAAATAATTTTTTTTTCCTCTATATAAATGCAAATACATTTTCTTGCCATTCTAAGTGTTCAAAAGATATTGAAAAAAAAAACGATATACACTCTGCATGTTATACACATAGGCTTAAATATATATATATTTTCCATAATAATTTTATTTGATATTAATATAAAGTCATATAGTGTATAATATCTATATTATTAACACCAGTATATAATTTTATATTAGTATGAAATGAAGCTAATTTTAAGGAAATTTCAAAGGATTTTTTTTTCAGCTTCTTAATATTATAGGAAATAAATATTAAAAAAAAAAAGCTTTGTTTTAGATACTGATGGTAAGGCTTCATTAATTTAGTCGTTAAGGGTAAGATATTTTGATTAACTAACCATTAAGTTATTCTTACAATATATTTTTTTGTGATTTTTTGAGTTTTTCGTCTTTAAGAGAAAAAAATTACGTTAGTTTCTTCTTTTTTTTTTATCCGAGAAAATTATGTTTCTCGATTATTGTTCTAAATCTATTTTC